AGACAGAGCCTCAAGCTGTCCCCCTGGGTAGAGTGCTGTAGCATCACAGCTCACAGCAACCTCCAACTCCTGGGCTCAAGGGAGTCTCCTGCCTCCGCCTCCTAAGTAGCTGGGACCACAGGTGCCCGCCTCAAAGCCTGGCTATTTTTTGGTTGCAACCGTCATTGTTGTTTGGCAGCCCGGGCTGGATTCAAACCTGCCACCTTAGCCACTTGAGCTACAGGAGCCAAGACAGTAAACATTTTTTTAATAAATGCACCTACCAATAACTCCCACAAGGCCAAGATGACACCCTGCATTTGTTCTCAACTCTCACTTTACTAAGGCTGCACCTTAGAATCCTCAGGGAGCATTTACTATCCAGATGCCAAGGCCTCCTCCCCAGAGATTCTAGTCAATTGGCTTGAGGTGAGGCCCAGGCTTTGATATTAATTTTCTAGGTGAGCCAGGTGACCCTGATGTGCAAGCAGCGTTGAAGGCAGAGACCCAAACCTCTGGGCGCCCCCACATGCTGCAGAACAGGCAGGGAGCTTCAAATTCCAAGGCCTGTCATCTTTCCGTCCTGTGTTATTCTGGGTACATGAGGTGTCTTGTCCCAACTTCAGTTTTCTTGTGTGTTCAATAATTAATTTAGATGAGGTATCCTGGAAGGCCAAGTCTTCATTAGGGCATGTGGAGAGCAATGGTTTTAAATGCAAAAAAAGTACCAGGATTCCAATTTTTCTTTGGTAAATCTAACCCAAAGCCTGAGTACCTGGCCACCCACACTGAGTTCTCCTGTACCCTGGACCACTCCTCCCTCATAGTACAGCCAGGCCTGTCAATTCTATCCCATCTTTTTCTCATCTAGATATTATCCCAACCTAGAAGATCCTATCCCTGGAAGCTTCTTCTCTCCCCAGCTTCTCAACTGTGTGTATTGGAGAGCAGGGAGGAGGATGCTAATAACTCAATTACTGATCTACAACTCTGTGCTAGGCAGTGTGCCAGGAGCTGTGCCTACACCATCTTTTTCAATCCTCCTAACTCTCCTAAAAGGTACTAGTACCCCACTTCCTAACAGAGAGGAAAGGGAGGCTCTAAAACACAGCAATGGCTCTGATACTCCATTGCAAAGTCTGTAACTCTTCCCTGCCTCCCCACGACCCTACTTCCCTTCACTTCTTCCACCTGGTCCCCATGACACTGCAGTAAAGCAGGCAGGACTTTGGCTTCCCAGCCCTGCTGCATGAAGCCCCATAGCCGCACAACCAGGATCCATATATTAGGTGACTAAATCCTGACATCCTAACAATCCACGCTGCAGGTTTTTCTAATAGGTAGGCTCATGCCACTTTGCTGCCCCACTCCTTTCCTTCAAAGACCCTATAGCTCACCAAAGTAAGCTCCAGTGCCTTGCCTGGAACCCAAGGCACTCCATCACTGCCCACCTGTTCTCCACACTTCCCAGAGCTTTCCTATCATTAAGGCCTTCAGGGTGGCTTCTGTGGCTCAAAGGAGTGGGATACCAGCCCCATACACTGGAGGTGGCAGGTTCAAACCCAGCCCTGGCCAAAAACTGCAAAAAAAAAGGCCTTCAAAGAATCTAGCAGGGAGATTGATGATTTGGAAAGATCACCTGGCCTTTAGGCCCTTACTAATGCCAGAGAATCACTGAATGTAAATTAAATTGACTCCCAGTAAGGACATTTACGAACAAATCAGGAAATTATTAGAAATGCAGAATCTAGGTACCTACATACACACTCACACAGGAATCAGAATCTGCATTTTGTAAGATTTCTAAGACAGATTCTCAGCCTTGAATCCCCTGGGGAGCCTTAAAATTACCTGGCTTGGGTGCCAGGCCAACTGCAATTGGTATGAGATGACCTTCCTGTAACTGCTCACACATTTACCCAGAGTACCAAACACCCAACTCTCAGGCTAAGAGATGAACTTGTTAGATCGGGAGGGAAGGCAGGGAACAGTTTGGTACAATTAAATTGAAAGTTTCATTCCTTCTGAACAGCAAGTTACATCCAGGTATTTACTCCACAGAAACATACAACATTATGCGAAAATATAAAGCAGTCACAGCTTTATTTAAAGAGCAAAAACCCTGAAACAAGTCAAGTGGTCCCTTGATGAGATGAAATTATAATATATCCCACAAATGACGAAATACTAGTCATTTGAGAATGAGAAACACACATGACTGACATGAAAAACACCCTGAATATTCTCTCTGAATAAAAAGGGAAAAAAGCTGCAAAACACCAGATACATATAGAAGGGATAAGTGTCATAAAAATGATAAATGAGTATATGCACAGGAAAAAATGCTATTATTTTGAGACTTGTGTTTTCTATTTGTAATTTCTATTTTTCTAGACATTACCACAGCAAGCTGAAATGCTCTTAGAAAATAGATGAAAAATGCAAGGTCAGAACAGTCTCAGGCTCAAAAACATGAGGAAACCAATCAGACTGCAGTAATAGCACAGTGATGTAGGAGGAGAAAGAGGACATTTGTATCTGAAGAATTTAAGCCCTTTTCAGTTATCAGGCCCAGAGAGGCACTGGAATGCACTCCCCCTTGAGCTAAACAACTGCCTCCGAGTGACTCTGACTCTGAGGACTCATAAAGTGATGTGGTTTCTACAAACAAATGAGAATTCCTGATGAAAAACTTTTGTAATTGCCCCTTCTCCTGATTTGTCCTTTTTTTTCTTTAAAAATGGAGTCTCTTGGCCAGGTGCGGTGGCTCACTCCTCTAATCCTAGCACTCTGGGAGGCCGAGGCAGGTGGATTGACTGAGCTCACAGGTTTGAGACCAGCTGAGCCAGAGCAAGACCTCCTCTCTAAAAATAGCTGGGCGTTGTGGTCCCAGCTACTTGGAAGGCTGAGGCAAGAGAATTGCTTAAGCCCACAAGTTTGAGGTTGCTGTGAGCTATGACATCATAGCACTGTACTGAGGGTGGCAAAGTGAGACTCTGTCTCAATTTTAAAAAAAAAAAAAGTGGAGTCTCTATTTACTCTGAAACATTCAAGGTACCCCATGATGAGGTTCGTAACCTTGGCAGAAACTCTCTGTATTAATTGTGCCTCAGATCCTCCCTTTTAGGTTGACACTGATGACAAAATTAGGTATTAGAAATATGAGCTTTATTTTAAATTTAGAGACACATTGAAAATAAACTTTTTACAAATTACAATCTAGCACTTAAAATATAATGTATAAATGTTAAACATTAATCCTTAATTCAAAATAATGATATCCATAGAGTTCACCTGGTGTTAGCCAATACAAGCTCACTAGTACTTCATCTGTGTTTAACCTTTCATACTTCCTAAAATTCAATTATTACAGTGATTTCAACTTTTCAATTTTTAATTATTATGGACACATAACAGTTGTGTATCTTTACAGGGTGCATATGTTTTGATATACAGACACACCATGTGTATTTTTTTTTTTTTTTTGACAGAGCCTCAAGCTATCCCCCTGGGTAGAGTGCTGTGGCATCACACTCACAGCAACCTCCAACTCCTGGGCTCAAGCGAGTCTCCTGCCTCAGCCTCCCAAGTAGCTGGGACCACAGGCGCCCGCCACAACGCCTGGCCATTTTTTGGTTGCAGCCATCATTGTTGTTTGGCAGGCCCGGGCTGGGGATTCGAACCCACCACCTTGGGTGTATCTGGCTGGCGCCTTAGCCGCTTGAGCCACAGGCGCCGAGCCCACACCATGTGTATTAATCAAATCAGGGTAACTAGGGTGTCCATCACCTCAGGCATTTAACCTTTTCCTTTGTGTTAGGAACATTCCAATTCTACTCATTTAGTTATTTTAAACCATGCCCTAACTTACTGTTGATTACAGTCACCTTTTTGTGCTATCAAGTATTGTTCATTCTAACTGTACTTTTGCAGTCAACTACATAATGATTTGACTTTATAAGGTTGATCAAGTCCTTTATGTAATAGCTCAAAGATAACTCTTTCAAATATGAAATATTTATACCAGCAAAGAAATTATAAAAACGTATATAAATTATACCAAAGGACTTGATTTAATGGCTGTCTATATATAGATTATATGCACATAAAAACATTACACTGAAGACAGATGCCATTACATTCTCTTATTATGTTACACAGCAAACTGCAGGCTCATAAATGTCATTCTATTATGTATCAACTGAAAAAAATATATAGTTCAAAAAAAGTCTTTGAAGACATGTAGGAGTGAAATGTGCCTGCATTAAAAGCAGAGCTTTTAGACCACATTTCCAGCAGGCTCCCTCCAGCAGGAGCCCTCAAAAAGACAAGATGGTCTTGTTAATGATTTCAATGGATTCTTGAATCTCATCCTCCTTGATCACTAGTGGAGGTGCAAACCTGATGATGTCACCATGGGTTGGCTTGGCCAGAAGTCCATTATCTCGGAGTCGCAGACACACCTTCCAAGCATCATAATCTAAGGAAAAATTGTAAACATGTACGTTCAAAGATAAATGCTTAAACATCCCCTTGCCATAGTGCAGCCTGGCAAAACAGAATTCCCAGTACCTGCTTCAAGAAAGGAAGCTTTGCATTATATATACGTAACAAAATTTCCCATATACCTTATACATTTTCCCAAAAAGGGGGGGAAGGAGACTTCAAGCTTGCTTTGTTCTTTTTTTTTTTTAACACAGGGGCTTACTCTGTCACCAGGGCTAGAGTGCAGTGGCAGTGGCATCATCACAGCTCACTGCAACCTTAAATTCCTAGGCTCAAGCAATCCTCCTGCCTCAACCTAAGCAGCTGGGAAATTGGCTCATGCTGCCACGCCCAGCTAATTTTACAGGTTTTTTTGTCCAGAAGGAGTCTCGCTTTTGCTCAGGTTAATCTCGAACTCCTGGTCTCAAACAAGACTGCTGCCTCCCACCTCAGACTCCCAAAGCAAGGGGATTACAAGCATGAGCCACTGCACTTGGCCTCATAACTAGGTTTTAATAGTATCGTTAGACATCATAGTTTTTATTGGTTTTTCATAAATGAAAAAGACCAAGCAAAAAGACCAAAAGATGACAGATAGACAGACAGGCAGACAGACAAGGCTGCTCTATTAATCACTTAAGAAGCAAAGCAAGGACTTGGGTACGACACAGATAACTAAGAGACATAGAATGAGCAATCTTCAAAACCCGATGAACACTGAACATTCCTAAAAAGGATCTGCTCCCTGAGCTCACGCAGCTAAATTCAAGACGTAACAGCAGTCATCCTCAGCCCTGCCTGCACTTCAGAACTGTGCAGAAACAGGTAGGAGCCCCTGCTAATGCTATGCCCCACCCTAGACCTGATGCACAATCTGTGCCCTGAGACCAGGGTTTGATTATTTTTTGAAAAGGATCCCAGATGATCCTAAAGTTCACCAAGGGAATCACTGCTTTAAAACAATGATTTTCAACCAGTGTGTCACTGCACATTTCTGTGCAGTGAGAGGATCTTAGGTGTCCCATGAAATTTTTTTTTTCTTTTTGGTAGAGACAGAGTCTCAACTTTATCGTCCTCGGTAGAGTACCATGGCATCACACAGCTCACAGCAACCTCCAACTCCCGGGCTTAGGCGATTCTCTTGCCTCAGCCTCCCAAGTAGCTGGGACTACAGGCGCCCGCCA